GGCATGCACAGTGGAGGGAAAGATTGAAGTTGAGAGCCAAGTAGTAGTGTCATCACAACTTTAGCCGAATCAAGTCGATGGTTTTCTCTGACCTCTTCGAAGGGCTGATGTTACACATCTCAACCAGGATTTGAGGCAGCCCCACCATTTAGGAAGGATCAAGAAAAGGAGAAGAGCTAGGCATGAAATGACTCCCATAAGAAAAGCCTCCCCTGGGTGGTAATTTTAGGACATTAGCTCAGGCTGCCTTGTCCTCAGTCATCTTGCTGGCATTTAAGTAGCCCCTTGGGTTACAGATCATGGCAGGTGCTGGGAAGTGAAGAAGGCCATGCTAAAAATACCAGCCTCTTCTGGAACGCGGCCGACAGACTGGATGGAGCTTCCTCCTTCAGTGGCAGGTCCCCAGAAAAGAAAGTTTCCTTTGCCTCAAGTCATAAGAAAGCTCTGACTCACTCCTGCACTGAAGTTACTGGGGTGGAAATGGTTCTCAGGAGAAAACCCTAGAAGAAGCATTTACCCTGAGGAATTGATACCCTGAAGGGGAGGCCAGGGTCCCAGTAGAAAGTGCTTAGGGAAAGGTTTTACTGGTCACTAGAGAAAGAATCCTTACAAAAACAAAAAGCAAGTCCATTGCTTGCTTAATAACCTCATGCCGCTTACAGGCCTCCAAGCCAAATCATCTGCACGAAAAACTTAGCTGTTGGCAGTGGGTTTAACATGCATAGAAATAAAACTTTAGAAAAATAATTTTGAATTCATCTAATATGGCATCCCTCTAAAGCCTGAATTAGCTATAGTGAAACAAAAAATACAGCAAGAGGGCCCTCAGCCATCCCCTTCCACCTGAATGAGTTATAGTTGGCTGTCTAGTACAGCAAGATGCCCCTGGGGTTGTCTGCTCCTACCAGCATTTTGGGGTCAGGTTTCATGGTTTGCTGAATAAGAGTGGAGCTCTGCTTGCCATTCAGGAGTCTGCAAAGGTCACTTCCACATGTGTTCCTGTTAAGGACATCCATAGAAACTTGAGAACCGAATATAAAAACTTAAAAATGAACAGGTGGCATTCAATATAAAAAGAATGTGAAGTTTGCTGGGATGTAATGATTAAAACCATCTCAAACCTCAGATGTGGCCCCTTAGGCTGGCTACAGTCTCTGGACTGCAAGATCTATAGGCCCTTTTATTGCTATGCAAGCTGGGCTTGAGGAGGCAAAAGATGCTGTCCTGACCATAGGTCTTGTCTTCTTTTTTCCCTCAAATATACTACCTAAATTAACTGTAGTTTATTCCATTGCCCACCTAAGGATTTTGAAGGAAGCAGGTATAGATTTCTAATGATTGCCTCAAATTCTCCCTTGAAGCTCCTGGGAATAAAATTAACACATCCAGCCTTCAATCCTCATGAAGATGTCTGAATTATCCCATCTTGAGCCATAAGCGTGACAATGGGAAAAGGATTCATTTCTTTGCTAGGTTCTTCCATCAGCTGAAAGTGGGTAGGTGGGTTTAGAAGCTAGGGTGTGGTACTGAGCTGGCCCATGAAATTCAAGACGCCTGTTCAGCCTCAGCCTTATTAGATCATGTTTTCACTATGTTCTATATTTAGACAAGACCTCTGGTAGTCCCCTCTCTTCTTATCATGACCTTATGTTTATTTTAAACACAAAATAAAATGTGAATATAAAAACAGACTTGGAAATGAATGAGTGAAACGAGCATTGTTGTTGGGTACTGAAACATCTGCATTCTTGTCCCTGAACTGCCACCTCCCAGTTGGATAGTCTTAAACCAGTCACTGCCTTTGGTTTTCTAATCTACAGTCTGGGAATTGCAGCACTCATACTGAAGTTGTTGAAAGTGGTTGTGAGGAGGTAATGAATTTGAAAGTTCTTTTTAAAATTTTGCATACATAAGAGACAATTTCTATTCCTTTTTTTAAAAAAAAATTAGTTGTAGATGGACACAATACCTTTATTTTATTTATTTTTATGTGATGCTGAGGATTGAATCCAGTGCCTCACACAAACTAGGCAAGTGCTCTACCACCGAGCCACAACCCAGCCCCAATTTCTATTCTTGAGGTGGCTAAATTCCATTGCAAATTGAATTTGATTAACCCTACACAGAGATGCTACTGTTGAGAGATAGAAGATAAGAGGAAATGCCTATGCTTGACTTACTTTTTTTTTTTTAATGTATTGGAAGAACCATTTTCCCCCATGCAACTCTCCAGGTAGCAAGCATTCTCAGCAGAATCAGAACAGTAGCAGGTGCCTTCTCAAGCCTAAGGGCCACATCTGAGCTTTGGGATGTTTAGTGACCAGGAATGTCACTAACTATGAGGACAGGCATCCAAATGGCCTAAAGACTTTTCTCAGAGCTCCAAACCCATCCAGGAAGCAGAGACTATTTTCCATGGGTTGCTGATGGGGTAGAATCTCAACAAGGATGAAATAGAAATGATTTGAATTAGGGGACCTGCCAGGCTAACTCACCAGTCTTAGGATCAGGGAATTTAAAAAGTTAGATTTGTGTAGCTCCATTTCTATACTTGAATACTACAGGCTCTGAAATAACTCCAGGTGAGAGGGGAAGAAAGGGAAGAGATGGAAAGAACAGAAATCAATGGCTTCAAACCACACAATAAGGTCTGGACAGCTGAACTTGGAATTCTAAGTTCTTTATTATATGGCTCTATCCTATCTTTCCAGTCTCATGTCCAAAAAACCTTATCATCCAACCACCATCAAACATTCCCTTTTCTTTCCTTAGTTCATACAATGGCCCCCCTCTCTATCTAATTGACACCCTTCCTCTAAAATCAGTTCAAAAGTCACCACCTTTTCAGAAAAGCTTTTTCTGTCTGCTCTGGCCTCATCATTTCTAGTTCTTCATTCACTGAATTCTTATACCTGTGCTCATGTTGAACACCTGGAGGACATGGATATATTTTACTTATTTGGGGATTCCAGAGCTTAATATACAGTAGGTGATCAATAATGATCTTTTTAATTAATTGTCTGTAGCACTGGCTCATTTAAGGAAGACTTACTGAGTTCCTCAGCTATGTTGGCTCAAAGAAAGGAGAAAAGTCAGTAATACAAGGTCCCTTAAAGAAGGTCTGTAGTTCAGATGCCTCATTATAGCAAAGAAAATACTAAGGCTCAGAGAGGTTGTGATATGTAATAAGGTGCAAGTGGCCAAGCCAAGTTTGAGTCTCAAGGTCTAACTCCTGAGTTCTTATTCTTGCCTCCTCTGCTAAACTCCAGGCTGGAGAGTCAGCTCCCTGTCAGCCACACATTTGTGTAGTGCCCATAGGCCTGGCTGGAAATGCGTCAGTGCTGCAGTGGCTTTGTTGACAAGTGGTGAATTAAAAGACTCTGGTAAATTCCTGTGCCATGCAGCACCTATGCCCATAGCTCTGATGTTCTGACCAGAAGATCAGAGTACTTTTTTCCTCTTGGGCAGTGGGGTTAGTGAAAGAAACCTGATAAAATCCTGTAGGGGAACATGATCATTCTCTGAAGGACTTGCAAATTGTTTGGCCTGCCTAATCTGCTCAGATACCGTCCAGGGACTATTCAGTATCCATGTAGTACAGGCTGTGAATTATTCTGTGGGGATTGGTAACAAGACCCTTACCAACCTTGCCTCTGCTGGTCTCAGGAAAGGCCTTTCCTGCTCTTCCACTGAAGTTCTGGAAAGAGCAGAATTTTCTCCCTTGGGGGATGGAGGAATGGGAGTTTGAGAGGCACTAGGGGAAATTCTGCTTTCAAGTTGAGCTTACAATGCAGAGCTGGCTCTATTCCCTCCTCACAGTTGTGACTGTGGATACAAAGACTTAACTAGGATATTGTTTATCCCATGTTTTGGCAACCTGGCACCTGAGTGCCTAACATGGGAAGAGATTGATTCCCTAAAATCAGTGCAAGGAAAATTATGAAAAGGGAGATTTAGAGAAACTTCAGGAAATCAACTATCCTCTGGTTTTAATCTACAGCGCAATACTATCACTAGTCAAGGTCAAACAGATGCTCGTGACTAAGTAGCAAACAAAATACCAAGTTGTCTGAGTCTAAACTCAACATTTTTTCCCCTGAAACTCCTGCCCATCACCTACACACCAATACATGCCCTACCCTTTCTGGAAGCACCATACAATTGCACACTCAAAATTAAGCCAATTGGGTCCTGTCTCCCTATTGTATTTGTCCCTCCCTGATGTTCTGACTAGTAGATCAGAGTACTTTTTCCATCTTGGGCAGTGGGGTTAGTGAAAGAAACCTGATAAAATCCTGGAAGGGAACTTGATCATTCTCTAAAGGACTTACAAATTGTTTGGCCACCCCTGAGGGGGCCGGGGGATACTGTGCACTGTGGTTGTGCTACACCCTACCTTTCCAACCTGCACAAGCAAGAAATTCTCAGGAGTGATCCCAGACCTTTCTCTCAGCTCTCCCTTTGCTTCAGTTGAGTTTCCAGAAAGTTAGCGCCCTGAGTGAGCCTGAAAGGCTGCGAGCTGCCAAGAAGACAGCTGGGTGCTCAGAGCTCATCTACTAGGACGAATCCCTGGGCCTTAAGTGGCCTTAAGTGCCAGGGTCTGGCGACCCAGGGGGTCCACGCGCACCTAACAATTGTCCCCAGGCCTCCGATGGTTCAGATCGGGTTGGCTGAGGACCCTAAAGGGCAAGGTTGGCCCAGGGAGGAAGAGGTGCAGAGGGCAGAGGTTAGTGCCTTGAGCACGGCTCCACTCCAGCGAGGCCCGGCGCCCTCTCCCTAAGCGTGCAGATTTGGAAACAGGGCGGCCTCGCCTGGCCGCCGCCTCCCGGGCTCGGGTCCCCATATATAGTCATATCCACCGTCAACTGAGAGGCCGACGGGAGGTAGCGAATGGGCGAGCGGCCCCCGCGGGAGGAACGGGGAGGGGGCACGGGGCGGAGGCAGGAGTAGGGGAAAGGGGGCAGGAGAAAAAAGCTTTTCCAAAAAAGTATTGGCTGTCTTGAGGAATGCGGTCGTCCCCTTGGGAAAGTACATATCTGGGAGCAGCAGGAGGCTCCGCGATCGTACTCAGGATCCGTCGGCTCACCGTGCTCGTGCCCGCCTCTCAGCTCCCGCCGCAGCCCAAGGGCCCCTCGCCACCGCCACCATGGACGCCATCAAGAAGAAGATGCAGATGCTGAAGCTCGACAAGGAGAACGCCTTGGATCGAGCAGAGCAGGCAGAGGCCGACAAGAAGGCGGCAGAAGACAGGAGCAAACAGGTCTGCGCCTCCCGGGACCGCATCCGCTAGTCCTCCGCGCTGCGCTTGCCCACATGACCCCGGGCCGGGGGATCAGAGCCTAGGATCCCTTCCTGCCCCCAACCCGAGGATTCTATCCCCATTCCACCCCAAGCCAAGGCCGCCGGGGCAAGCATCTGGAAAAGAGGGAGGGATAGCGCAAGACTGAGGCTTATTCTAACTTTTCAGTCTCGCTGGAGTGAGCTTATTTCCCTTCTTGGTTCCCATAGCTATCCAAGTCTATCCGAGTCTATCCCAGTCCTAAAGCACTTAATTCTCTAGGCTGGGAATCAATATTGTTAAGATCGGAGGGCGGGGTGGGGGCGTCTTTTGAAGACGTTTGAAGAAAGAGCAGGAGAGAGGGAGCTTCAAATTCCTGAAAGTGCTTTCAGTCCTTTGGACTTTTGACTGGGGAGAAAGAAACCTCAAACTGGGATGGAGACTTTAGGGGAGGAGAACGGAGTCACGGGGATGTTTCCTAAGAACAAAGATGGGACAGAAGGTAGGATGCGGCCGGAAAGTCAGGCAAACAGGATCATTTTTCTGCGCCCCCAAGTTGTGGACTTGAGCCGGCTGGGACCTCGGCTGGAGGCTTGTTCAGGGCGCGCGGAGTGGGGGTGAGGGGGTTGTTGAGACGCCAGAGAATGGCTACAGCTTCTGGCGACAGGAAGTTACCTAGGGTCCCTTGAGCCCCAACTTGGTGGCGCCCCAAGCCCAGGGATTCCCCAGCCAATGTGGCGCCCATGTGTTGTGTGTATGTCTAACACCCGGTCCGTGCCGGTCGCCCGCGCCCGCCCGCCGCTGCCCCCTAGCTTGAGGAGGACATCGCGGCGAAGGAGAAGCTGCTGCGGGTGTCGGAGGACGAGCGGGACCGGGTGCTGGAGGAGCTGCACAAGGCGGAGGACAGCCTCCTGGCCGCCGACGAGGCCGCCGCCAAGGTACCTGGGGCGCGCGGCGCGGTGCGGCACGAATGGCTAACTCTTTCT